CCCCCCCCCCCCCCCCCCCCCCCCCGGGCCGCTGAACAAACTAAGCTTTTAACCATCCCCAAAATCTGGGGCCCACAGCCAGAAATGAACATAAAGAAGCCTCTGCTAAAGTACATGCGTACCTGCAAGAAATCCTCCTGCTTAAAGGGGTCGGCACCCACAGAAGGATACCAAACCTGTAAAAGTAAACTTCCAACCAGAATAGCATCAGAGAAGTAAAGTAACACAGGTTAAGCCAGAGAAGGAAAAAAAATTGTGAGATATGGCAGAATATCAGAGGCATGACATTGAACCTTAGAGGCTCATTACCTGCATTCCTCGATGCCCGTAGTCTAACCAAGATACTTCCTCAATTAGATTTGTTTTCTCCTCTGATTGACCGCAAGTTACCCAAAACAATTCAACAGAGTCAGTAAGTTCCCTTTCACGTCCATCATCCAAATCAAGAAGTGATAGCTCCCCATTAAGTCTCAATATCAAACACCTGGCACACCAGCATTCATTATAAGCATGCACACACGTGCACAGACAATTAATTCAATCAATCATTTTGATGAGCAATACCTTGCAGGCTCTCTTGCTAAGAGATCAGAATTAGAACCAGTATGATTGTTAGAAATGGTCTCTCTTGGAAGCTGATCAGGGATGAAACGCATCGATGCAGGGTGGCTTTTCGCAGTCATAATCGAGAGTTCTCTTACTGTAGAAAGCTGTTTGTCATTTTATCACTTAAAAATGCATGAACAATAAAATCTTTATAAAAGCATTCTTGCTAGAGTGCAAGTTAATCAAAGAGAAATTCTCAGCAAAAAATAGTTAATCAAACAGAAATTACCAAAAAAAAGTCAATCAAACAAAAGAAATCGGCATTAATTACAGTGGAATTGTAAAAAGAACTGCTGGATAGCTTTATTTACCTGTAAATCTGGAGTTGTAGAAGGAGTCAATTCACCGATTAACTTGACATGGAATATATGTACATCAAATGGGCGATATGTAACAAGTATATACTCTTGGTAGACATCCATTACCATAGGCTTGGCAAGCAACGGTTTTCGACAAAGAAGTGAACTCTGATCAAGATGATATCTTGGGTAAAAAAGCAATTCATATCTGTAAGGCAAATGGTAACAACTGTGATAAATATGTCTGTTCTGGAGAATCAAACAAATACAAACTAGATAATTACACAATAAAAGAAGTAAAACAGAATCCAGGTTGGTGCCAACCAAGACTAACTATTAAGGCTTAGTTTGGTATTGTTGTAGATTTTGGAAAAATTGCTTTTAGCTGTGCTGAAAGAAAAAACAACTGTTACAAAAAGCAACTGAGTATTTGGTAAACTATAATTATAGTAGCTGTGCTGGTTCCAAAATCAGTGTAATAGCGTTTGGTAAATTATGAGGTTAAATTGCTGTGGATAGTTAAAAATTACGACTAATTATATTATACTATAATATAATATATATAATTACAATACAATGTATATGTATTATTATATTTAATATAATACAATAAAACTATTATTAAATAACATATTATATAATAATGATATAGAATATAATAATATTATTAAAATGATTAATATATGTGTAATACACTATAATAATATTAGAATTATAAGATTATATTAATTATTATATTATTATTAATATAATCAATATAATTATATCAATACAATATAATAGATAATATTATTATAAAATAATAATTATAATTTCATATTATATGATAAAATAATAATATTAGAGTTATTAATATAATTATGATATTATTTGTTACAATGTTACATTTTATTATATTATATTATATTATTGTATTATGATATTATATTATATTATATTACAAGTCTGAATTTTAGATTGGGAAAATTGTAAATTTTAAATTTCATTAGGGGTATTATGGGTATTATGAAAGTTTCAATAATTGTACTAATCTAAAAGGTAAAGTTGCCTTTGGATTGCTTCTGATTTTGACTGTAGATTCTTCAAAAATTCTTCAAAAAACACTTTTGAGGAGATTTACCAAACACTAAAATTAGCTTTTGCTACAAGCAGAAACTGATTTTGGGAGTGAAAAACAATACCAAACGCAACCTAAACCAGACAAGACATTTACTACAGCACAAAAATATTGAAAAAATTAAAATGGATCAATATAAATAGTTATCTCACGTGTTAGAGGAATCAACGTAGTTGCAGACGACAACAATCTTCCCCATCCATAACAAACCTTGACACTGAATCTTTTGCTCCTGAGTAACATCACCAAATACTCGCCACTTCTTTAACCGAATATCGTATATGATTAACCCATGCATACCAGCAACAGCTAAGTACATTCCATCCTGGCTAGCTGCCACATGTTGAACTGGCCAATTTTGGGAGATATATGAAACCTAGACCAAAGCAGATCTGTCAGAGAACCATTTTCAAAACAAGAAATAAAGGATAATTTAGCAAGTTTGTGTTCTTGTGGCATAACTGGAAGGTTAAGATGCAGCATTTTAAGTTCGTCAGTATCTTCAGACTGTACAACAAGCAATCGATCATCGCCATAAAGCACTTGGCGTACATATGTTGTGCCTGAGACTCCTCTATTGAGACAACATTTACCAAAAGAGAATGCAACAATCCTCTCTGAAGACTGTTCCTCAATAGCATAAAGCCTATATCCATATTCATCCCACTGCAACATTGAGGTGCCACTCATTAAAGGTTCATATTTACACTCCCGGCTAGGCTTAACCACTGGAGAAGATACAGAACTTAAACCTATTTGACGAACTGTTGACATCAGACGGCAACCAGAAACCGACCAAACTGTAAGTCCTCTCAACTTCCACCCAACAGCAAAAGCAGAATTATCAGGGGTCCAGGCAATGCAACTAACAGGGCCAGTATCATCCATTGAATATCTGCAAGATAAACCCTAGTCAATAAGAATCTAGTATGTACCTTTATTGGTGAAACTGAAACCTCACAAAATCCTTCATCTCTGACTCTGAAAACCACGACTTACCCCCAGTCATACAAGGACACAGTACGGATAAGCGATGCAGATTCTGCAAGGTCATATAACTCAACAACCCCTCTCTTGGTACCAACAGTAAGGATTTGTTGCTCTAAAGCCACTGAAGCACATACAACATCACCAGAACCCAACCTTCTTTCAGCTTTTATATATTCGGCTTGCTTTAAACCTTTCTTACTTACCGAACATGAAAACAGTTGCCCATCAGAAAATAAAGCAAATAGTAACCTTATTGGCAAGCAAAGCTCAAGCTGGATAATGGCAGACTTTCGGGAGACATTATCCTTGGCAATTAAAGTATCAGTGTGCCCTTTAGAAGAACCATTTTCTAGAAATTGCGGTGATGGTTTAACCTCACTGCCATCACGTGGAGAGGAATCTAGTTCAAAGGCCCCATAGAACTGTTCAGAAAAACACAATTAGCTCAGCACTTTGTTCAAATACCACGAATAAGATGCTGCTCTAACAAAATGGCATTGAACTGCAGTACATCTAAACAAATAGTTCAACACGTAAAGTGACATAATGTTTCAATACCTCCCCCTTCCAAGAGATACTATACAATGATCCATCAGACAGTCCGAGAAGCATATGTTTGCTATCACACACAATATTGCTCCTGAAAAAGGGAACATTAGGAGAAAAGTTATGAAGATCATAACAGCAAAAGAAATCTGTAAAATAAATATGTATGTGTCCTACTCATAATCATCATAAAACCCGAATTAAATGCAAAGGTTAAAACAACTAGGTCACAATAATATAAGACAAAATCTAAAATTACGTCGCCTTTGTGAAACAAGGTTCCAGGCCATGATACCAGACTGACGTTTAGTAATCAGCATAACCAAAATTGGTGACATACGCAGACAAACTAAAGAGTAATTCTTTTACCCCTTTGACATGGAGAAAATGGAGAACTACGGGTTGTACTTTGGTCCATCCATGTATTAAATTTTGTACAAAAACTAGCCCACTTTTTCCATTTCTATCGTGCATTTGAACAAAAATTTACCTTTGTGAGACAAAAAACAAGGTTACGGAATTTCCACAAAGTCCATAAGTTAAATCATTTCCATCTCAGTGATCATTCCATACATAAATTCGTCAGATGAGACACACTTCAAAGTTCAAAGTTCATATGTTAATCAACTAAATCCAAATAACTCCAAATCCGTATTGTTACAATAGTAAACTGAGAACTCAAAAGCGCGGTGCATCAAACAGAACTTATCTAAATCAGTCAAAAAGCTACTTACACTGACAAGTCCTTCTGTGCGAAAGGCACTTGCTCGCTCAGAAGAAGAGAAATAGTAGCAAGAAACAGTTCAGAGGGTTGCTTCCCTCCAATTTGTACTTTTTTATCCGTATACTGGACCTTGAAAAGGTGAAGAACGAAAGAAGATGTCTGCCAAAAAGATAACGTGAGTATGCATACAAGACACAAATAAGAACATTTTATATTATCCATACAACTGCAGACAAATCAGAGATTGCACAACAAAATTTCCTTTCCAAGAGCCACACTGACACATCAGATTAATGGCAACATGAGAAATCATTAAAACACTTACTAGAACGGCGATCAATTTGGCATCAGGACTCCACACAGCCTGCAAATTCTCTCCTTCCTTCGCCAGTGACTCCGAATCCCTCTTGTACTTCCCCAATCTCACTTTATGCTGAAAATCCAAGCAACCCCAAAACACATGAAAACAGTGTCAAACCTAAGAAACTAGTCGAATTAAACCGCCCTCAACGGGCACTCAAAGGGAGTCATTTTCCCACACATTTCCAAAACTGATATCCAGAAGAACACAATTATACTGAAATCCCACATCCACACACGCAATTACCAGCCCAATCTCACTTTATGCCGCAAAGAAAACGAACAATGTCAAACCAACAAACTACTTGAACTAATCCCACCATATTCACACAACCGACAATGAATCACTTTTCACATACATTTCCAAATCAATCTCCACATAAACACAATTCTAACAATGGCAATTAACAAGGCTACCCGTAAATTCAGAAATCACAAAAAAAAAAAAAAAAAAAAAAAAACCACAAA